CTTGCACAATATCCAAATCTTTTAAAATTCTTCTTAACCAAACCGTTTCACATGCTGCTTCAGTGGACATATATTCAGCTTCTGTTGAGGACAATGCTACACTTTGTTGTTTCCTTGAATTCCATGATATTATTTTTGTGCAGAATATGTAAGTTGATGTACTCTTACGATCATCTACAGAACCACTACCTGTGTATCCAATCAATTTATCATTCTCTTTAGTTCGGTATCTTATGCTTATTTTCTTGCTACCTTGAAGATAATGTATTATCCTTTTGCAGCAAAATGTATTTTGCTAGGATTATTCATAAATTTTGATACCATATTCATTGCTTGAGCTATGTCAGGTCTTGAATGAGTTAAGTATAGTAAAGAGCCTACCAAACTTCTGTATATATTAACATCGACCTTTTTAGCTCCATAATCTTGACTTAATTATTCATTCAATGCCATAGGAGTATTCACAGTTTAGCAATTCTCCATATGAAATTTCTTGAGGAGATCCATTATATATTTTTCTTGATTAAATAAAAAATTTCTCCCTTGGTTTGCGTTACATGAATTCCAAGAAAGTATTTCATGAGTCCTAAGTCTGTCATTTCAAACTCTTGCATCATAGACTCTTTGAAATTATTAATGAGTTTCATACCATTTTCAGTGTAGATAAGATGATCAGCATAAAGACAAACAATGAAAAAATGTCCATCGTTGTTTTCTTTGATGTAAATTGATGGTTCACTTGGACTCTTTTTGAATGTATACTAGTATAGACAAATAGGGTAAAACATGCAGGAGATATTAAAATCTTACATAGTACAGATAACAAATCATGCATTTTCAGATATGTTAGGCATTGAGTTCACGTTGGGAACTTGGAAATGATAGTGTGACTCTACATCTACACTTTAAAGTTTAAAGTGTCATCCTTCTATTAACTTTTGTCAATATTTTGGAGTTAACTCGCCAGGTTTTAAAGCAATATCTTTTATTTCACAGAAACTTGAAGCTGCCCTCTTCGCGGCCATCTATTGTCTGTGAGAATTGCCTTTATTCTATCAATAAAGATATGCGAGCTAGAGCATTCCATATCATGGACCCAAAAGGAATTCTAGAAATGCTTCTTATATTTCTTGAAGAGAGAGGAAGCGTTGTTGATGCACCCCCTTCCTTAGAGGTATTCATCAACCAAAAACCCTCGTATAATAACTTTAATTGATTATTAAGTAAATGTAAGAAGCCAAGGAAAGTAACTATTTAGCTGATCCTTTTTGATTTGGTAGGATAACAGTAACAGGATTGTACCTTTTCTTGGCCGATGGAAGGGCAGTTCAGTCACCAAACGCAGCGGTGTGTATGGTGCAACAATGGCTGAGCATGATACAGTTGCTTCACTAGAAATTGATGAAAATGGTCTGTTGATCCAGGTATGACACTCCCCTCAACAGATTATCAATTTTGGATGCTATTTTAGTGTTTGACCAAATGCTTCATAGAGTACTATACTACTATGCTTGAAGCAGAGTACATCTGTTTATTTTATGACTTCATGTGGCTTAGATAGACATACTGCTTGCATATACAGTCCCCTTGCTTATATAAAATTAACTATGTACTATGTGCTTTTGAAAAGATGTGAAAAATAAAATTTTATACTCCTATATCATTTGTAATTTTCTTACAAGTGATGTCTCGGTTGCAAAACTGAAACTTTGGCCATGTTTTTTTGTCAATATATATGAAAAGACATAAACATGTGAAATCTTGTTATAAGGTCATTATAATTTATATTTCCAAAATAACAACTTTGTTTAATTTTTACTAATGCATGATTTAAAATATTTATGGTCAAGTATGTGTGTCACAAGTAACCAGGAAAATTTCAATTGGGATAGAGGGAATACTATGAAGGGTTTTAAAACTTACCATGAATTTTATTAAAATGGTGGGGACAATTCTTTATGGTAAATTATGGCTCATCAGTGAATGCAAATGTTAAATTACTGGACATTGAGAATTAAGTAGCTCATTTTGTATAAATTGACAGCTGCTATTATGAAAGAGTACATATCGAGGGTCTGTTTGTTGGGGGTCTGATGCAAAGTCTTGTGTACACACTGTCAAGACCGAGAGTCTTGTGGGACAATGTGCAGCATTTTGTGCACGAGTCTTCCTATTTGTTTTTTAACTATCACGTAGGTGGTATCAAATGCAGCAATGGTTAAATGGATATACTGTGCAATTATGAAGGATAGGCAAAATAGATTAATATTACTGGCCTCACTAATGATGAATGTTAAAGGTTGATTAAGAATGGTGACACTGTAATGGGAGTGAACGTTTGCTCCATATAACTGGAAAATTTTGGTGTTATAAATGTGCTGCATGGAAGGTTAGGTTTATATCTTGGTGGTTTTGTGAGAAAGGTCAAGCACCAGAATGGGGTACAGTTTGACAGTAACTGTATTTATTATGTGCAAGATGCTGTTTTTGGCTGCCTTGTCAGAGCTGGCATATATGGTAGATTGCTTGCATGCATACAGGATTCCTGGATGTCTTTTTAAAAAAAAAGGAAAAAAAAAGAAAAAAAAAACACAAGATTTATTGTACATGGAAGTGACTTTTTCATATATAGAAACAAGTTCTTGTGTTTTTTTTTGTTTTTTTTTTTTTTGCTATATAATGTTTGGTTGGAATATAGTTAGAATTCGTGTTTGGTTGGACATTAGTTAGAATTCGTGCTATAGTTAGAAGTCACTTCTAAAATCCAAAACAAGTTCCTAAAAACGGAGTAGAATTCGTGCTAATGTTCGGTTGGACAATTTTTTGCTATGGAACCTCATAGGCTCATACCAGTGGTATCTAACTATATTCCAACCCCTACAATACAATCTCATTCTCATACCCACCTCACCCTGCAAGATTCTAAATCCATTCCACCCTAGATGCAAACTCTGAGTACAAATCCATTTCAATTTCAAACTAAACAAATTCAGCCAGGTATGAAGTTCTCAATCCATACTACCTTGGTGGGTTCCCAATGTATTCCATTCTAGTTTGTTGAACCAAACGTCCCCTAATGGCCTAATGTTTGACAGAGTCCAACTAAAGCAACAGCTCAAGATTAGTATCCTAGAAAAACTCTTGTGTAGAGCAGCTATATACAACATGTTTATTTTTGAAAGAGTAGGTAGAATATTAGTAAATTATTAGGGATTAATGAAAATAACTACCTTACGTGTGTACATATAGAATAGAAGACATCCAGAAATGCCCTAGTTACTTACCTTTAATAACTCTATAGTTTGGCTGTGACAAACACAACTTTTGTTACTCCATCCACTGTAATTTTTCTGTATTTTAGATTAAGCATCCAATTTGCTTAATTTTCATTAGTGCCTTAAAGTCATGTATACGGGAGTCTTATACTAGTATTCTCTGTGTTCTCATTCTATTAGATACTTGCATAAACTACTCTCATAGCTTTCAATTTTCTGACTGTTGAAGGTCATGTTGCAGTTGACATGACTCGATATTTTAAGTGATCTTTGTGTGGTTCCTAATAATCCTCTTTCTGGGTCACAAACATACAGGACATAAGTTCAACTGTCAAAGGAAGTGACGTCACTGCTAATGTTCAATGGACGGGCACGATGCATGATAATCTGATAAAATTTGACAAAGGTTTCCAGTTAACTTTGTTGCCTGGAGGTATGTATATGGGATGCCCTACTGATATAGCAAAGAGTGTGGCTGAGCTAAAGTCATTTCATCTTGAGTTTTGTTGGCTTGAGTCTCCTGATAAAAGGCAGAGATTAGTACGCACATTCGATGCTGAAGGTTTGGCCGTGTCTTCAACCTACATTTTTGAGACAAAAATATAATCTTTGATAAATGTTGTATAGCTTCAATTCGTCTTTTAGTTATATAGAACTATATCTTAAGGGTTTATGCTGTACCTTTGGAGATTTGACCAATAATGGCTTCAGGAATAATGAATACATTTTTATAAATTAATAGAGAAATTCAGCCAGGCATTATTTACCAGGCTTTATGCAAAAATTTCAGGTTCAATATTTCACTCTTCAGTAAAATCTTTCATAGTGTTTTTCAAGATTGTATCTGAACTTGTCTATAGAATACTAGATATTGATTATTTGATGTTAATACAGCCACTCTGTCATCTGGCATATGCTGTGTGATGCATAAAACCTATACAAACTAGGCAATTAGTAGCTTTCCCCTCGTGAGGAGGCTTTCCTAATATTTATTATTTCCTTAACTGTGTAAAAATATTAATACGGAGTAATAATATATTACGGAATTAGTACACATTCCTTTCTTCTAAAACAAAGTATATGTTTTCCAGATCCATTTTGCTTAATTTTCTTTCAGCTTTCGTAATCAGACAAGAACGTCCGAGGAGTTTCAGGGTCCTGGATGCATCATCAGCTGAGTGTAGGAAAATGATTTCTCATGCTTTTATACACCATCTTTTGCTACAGAGTATCATATTTTGCACATTCAGAATCTTACTTGCAATTTCAAAATTTCTTGAATTTATTTTCTTCCACAGGGTGTAAATTCAGGGGAACAAATACTATTAGGCATCTGAATGGCACTTTTCCATTGTGAGAATAGATAGATCCCTCAGTGTTTTGTAAATACACCTGTTTACGTCCCACAAGTTTAGGCACCAATCACGACTCCCCGGAAAATATTACAGACTTACAGTGAACTCTTTTCAGAGGCAACTGAGTATCAGAACTGCATTTGGTTCTAGTACTTTTGGGTGAAACAAAACACTGAGTAGGAAAATAGGTGATTTTATAATGTTATCATACTGCCAAAGTATGTAGACGAAACACCCTCTTCCGTAATATACTGAAAGGACTGTAAAAGCTAAAAAAAACAAAATTGTCACAAAAACTACTGTAACAAACTTTCAAGCTTGATTATATCAAAACAAAATGTTCAATGCTTAATTTCTTATTCTCATCAAACTTGCTCGAAAATTTAGGGAGAAGAAGCAGTGTAGGTAAATCAGTTACGCAATGACTTACATTACAATGAACTAGATAGAAAAAAGTCATGAATATCGAATTCGGCAACACAAAAGAACCTTTCTAACAAGAAAATGTAGAACATAGGAGTCTTTAAAACTAAATTACCCAAAAGAAAATGAGAAGCAAACACAAAATCATTACCCTTCTAATTTTGATTTGTTCCATCTAAATCTGTAAACTTTGTATTCTCCAACTCTTGGGTTTTGAGAAGAGATGATTGTTGCACTTTTGTGAGCCCAGATTTTGGCTGGATTAACTGAGCACGCGGTTTAGGTCTGGCAAACATTTTAGAAAATATGCTCCATTTTTTCTTCGTCTTCGTCATTTTCTGTATCTCTTTTTTCATAGTTTGATATTCCTTCTCAAGCTCAGAAACTCGATTCCTCACATCACCAGCAACCACTAAAGCTCGATCCTGATCCACAATCTCATCCTGATCTCTATTTTGCGAGCTATCAAGATTATCAGACAAGAAAAACCATCCAGAGATCTGAGTTCGAAGCCTTAGTTGTTCAAAGAAAAGGACTTGGACTACCATCCGAAGTGGCAACCGCTCATTTTGTGCTGCATGAGTACTGGCTTCTAGTGACAGCTTCTGACAATTCATTAACCTGCAAATTTGCTCCCTCTCGGACTCTGTGAGCCACGGATGTGCCTGCAATAAGTAGCATATAAGTAAATTTAATGTATTGTTACTTTCTCTATTATTTGGAACATACAAAAGGGAAATAGGTGATACCTTAAGATAGATATCAACGGCATGGTAGAAAGCATCATATCTAGGCCTTGCATAATCAGGGATCACAGCAGCAAGAGCTTGGAATTTGGGAGCCTTAACATTGACATCAGGGGCAACCTCAGCAAGGTAAGAATCAATTAGTTCGGCCACCAAAGTCATGGAAGCAATAGATTCAGATGCATTTATCAACTGCACACCATCTTCTGCTGTTATAGGAGAAGATGTTCCAGACACGCCTAACTGCATTTTCATGAAATGATCGGCAATCCTCTGAACACAATCAATATCATACAATGTTTCTAACGCAAACCCTGTGTTTGGAATAAGCAAATCTACCAATGTGGCTTGGTCTAATTGAACTCCTACTCTTTTCTCCAAGTTTTCCAAGCAGGGCGGATTGCAATGTAAGTTCATAGCAGTTTTCAGTAGCCTTAGCAGAAATTTGGTTGGTGTGACGCCTTTTTGAGTAGGAAGTAGATTTACGATATCTTCAAGAAGGTTCCCTTGGTCAACTTCAGACAACAGAGCAGTTGAAGCCTCTGATCCTTGCTTGGTAGTATCCTTTTCAGCTTGCTTATTCAAAAGAGGGATATTAGTCCTTGCATAAAACATAATTGAACCTGAAACTCTTTCGGGTTTCATCCCCCTTGCTTCAACAGCTTTAATAAGCCTCTTATAAAGTGAAAAACTAAGAGAAGATACATCCTCATACCACCAATCATCAGCAGTAGTAATCTGTGATTTACTCCCTGAAGAAATCCCGTTCCATAAAGACTTCTCTTTGGAGTTCTTACTTTGTCCACTAACTGGCCATCCAAACAAGCTTGGATCCGAACATGCTTTAATCGCCAATGAATTTATGCACCTTGAAACAACATGAGCTTCCTCTGCTTGCTCAAGAACTTCTTCACACGTTACAAGAGCTTGCATCGAGTCTGTCCAGCTGCTGAATACTTCACTAAAAAAGGCCTCAGTTTGGGCAATGAGATTGCCCTCCCCATATTCTTCAGTCATTTCGAGGTATTCTCCTGCACAACGTAGAGAGACTACGTTGGAGGGATTAATCTCAAGCTTCATTCCATAACAAAATTTGGCAACAAGTTCAAATGCTTTGGATCCACCAGGTACTTCATCGAGTCTGACGATGCAGCTTGATCCATCCTCACTTGTAAACTCTCCAATAAGCTTCTCTAGCAGCCCACTTCTTGAGATCAAGGGAAACTACGAAAGTACGAAAGTATAAGAAGAGATTAAACACATACAAGTATACAACATAATGAAATAAATCACACATATTTAATAACTAATTTACTATATGGAAGTAAAATCATTATACCTTGTGTAAGTAAAATGATATATCTCCGATATCTATGGTAACATCACTTGCAAGACCAGATGAACAAATCCTGAAAATATAGGATAATGATATTCAAATATTTGAACCTTATTCATTTGAAGAAAAAAAAAAATGATATAGAAAAAAGTTGAATCAATTGGAGACTTAACAAAACTTAGGAAGTATTGTATGTAGATTTTTATGATACTATTGAAATATTGAACTAATACGTAGTAATAATTTAAAAGGCTAATTACAACAATTCCTCTGTATAATACATGCAATATTATGAGTTTGCATTTGCCAACATACAATTTGAACGTAAATTTCAATATTTGAATATTTTAGTAAAATTTATAGGGAAAAAACTTAATGTTGTACAAAAAAAAATCATAGTAACACTAATCAATCAACACTTTGTTAGATTTTGACATATTGGTAAAATGTAGTACATTTCAATGTTGCATGTAATAAAAATATGGAAGAAAATAATAAAGACAACACAAAATGACACCAATGTTAATTTCACCTGTTCCACATGTTTGTAAGCGAGATTTCATCCCATAACTTGGTTATCATTCCTTATACTTCAACAAGCTAAGTAAGTTGTCACCTACTTATAATTGATAGTATATTTCGACTTATTGATAAATTTTATAATTTTTTATTGTTTGTAATATATATCTTAAAGAAACGTTTATGATTCAAAGAAAATTAATTTTCCACATTACCAATATATGTTCAAATCGATAATATAGTGCAAGTTTCATTCCTTTATATCAAATCACATGGAATTACTCAATAGCACAATCAAAACAAAAACAATACCAAATTTTGTGATCTTGTATTTAACTTTTTTTTATCTATTACATTTACATTGATAAACTATCTTTTATTGTTGTTTTGATACAAACCATGCTAATTATACTTTCACAAAATTTTTTATTTTTTACTTTTTTCCTTCCAAAAAATTAAAGTACAACAAAAAATTATATTACACAATAACAAAAATAATATCAACAATCGATAGGATTTCCCTTATCCTCTCGTTCTGAAAAAACGTAAAATTCTTTCCCCTTAAAACTATGGATCATCTAAAATCCTCGGTTCAACGACTCGAAACCACTAATCAAGATGACAAATTGAACAAATGGTGAAAGGAGGTAATGTAACATACCAAGTTTGGCCTTCACGACGCAAAGAGTCAGATTTAGAGCCAATTCTCATGCATGCCATGTAATCTAATAGATGAAATACACACACTAATTAACCATTCAACTGAGAAAGAAAGAAAACGAGCAAACGTTAAAATGACACAAGACAAAAAAAAATGTGGGGTTTTTTAGTTGTTATTAAATCAACAATTTCCTACCATAAAGATATAAAAACACAAAGGGAAATAATAAAACATAGAAAAGCATCTAATGAGAAAATAAGTTGCGAGTATTAAGGTAGGTAAAAGGTCAGAGAAAGAATTAATCTATTCAATAGGATGTTTCATCTAGGAAAACCTTGATATTAGGAGTTGGCAAAACTACTTAATTTTGATGCACCTTGTTAATTGTTATTTCTTTGGACTATGCCCCCACTTTAATGAAATTGTTTTAATATATTTCATTAATACTTTCTTCGTCACATAATGTAGTGCATGTATTTTTTTGAGTGGTCCAAGATATTGTATTTTGTACCGGTCTATATTTATTTTACATGATACACTACGGAGTACATTTTTATTTATTATTATTATTATTATTTTTATCTTTCTCTTTAGAGGTGTCCGTTCGGTTTTCGGTTTGAATTTAGGCTAAATCCAATCCGATACGAAATATAATTCAGTTTTCAATTTTTCAATCCGATCCGATCCGAATTACTCACCCAATCCAATCTGAATCAAAGTTCGGTTATTTGGATCCGATTCGAAAATCCGAATTAAAATACGTTAGTTTATAGCGTCTAATTAACTAGTACGATATATAAAAAATAACATTTTATCCAATTCTTAAGATTAATGCAAATCTTGAAAATAGTCATGATTAACATAATTGTTTAACATCAAGTCAAAAAAATTGTTCAAAATAACTAATATAGCTAAAAGGCAACACCATTAGTCCATTACAACAAATATTCCATGCACTAAATACTTTAGCAACTTTCAACAGTTTAAGACTTAAGACAGCAACAATTTTCATATTATGCATGCTTAATTCTAAAATTCGGTTTTTGGTTTGGTTTGGATCCGATTAGGGTCAATCCGAAAATCCGAATTTTAAAAAAATCTCAATCCGATCCGAGCCGATTTAAAATTCGGATCCGATCCGAATTGATAATTTGGTTTGGATTGGATTGGATTTCGGTTTTAATCCGAATTATAGACACCCCTAATATCTCTTACCATATAAAATACATCTATACATTTTCCCAATTTATATATATATATATATATATATATATATATATATATATATATATATATATATATGTATTATTTTTTTCTTTTTTCTTTTTTCTTTTTAATATTTCACATATTATGTATAACACAAACTATTAGGTGTGGATGTCCGCACCCAATGTTTTGTGCGTCGGAGGAGACGACGCTGATGATGAAGACGACGATGACGATGAATACGATAATGGTTGATGAAGACAACACTGGTGGATGACGACGACGATGACGATCGAAAAATGGCGATAACAACGGTGGATTTGCGATTGAAACCCTAGATTTGAAACGTACAACTGTTGGCCTGGTACGGTGGAGTTTCCTGCTGGTTTGCGTGCATGGTTGGGCACTCCACCTGGCTGCGCGGCTGGCCATGGCTGCGGCTGGGCTCCGACAGGAGCTACGGTGGGGCTGTGCAGGGTGCTCGTAGCAGGGCAGCAGCAGGGGAGTGAGGTAGGGGAATTGGAGGTTCGATTGGTGGTGGCTGTGTTTTGCTGCTGGTGGAGTTGTGATTGGGCGAAATTGGAGGAAGAGAGAGAAAGAAGTGTGATGAAAGAGGTGATGGTGGGTTGTAATACCCCGTATTTTTATACATATTTTAACTTAAATAAGTATTTCTTAAAGTATTTAAATAATTCGAAATGAATTATCTATGGTGCTTCATTAATTTAAAAAGAATTATTTTAATTAAAAGTTATTTTTAATTATTTAACAATCTTGAAAATATTTTATTTCATGATTTGAAAACTTTGAGGCATATTGTTTTATAAAAGGAAATTTTAAAGTCAATGGTATTTAAGAAAAGTCAAAATACTAGTTTGGATAGGAAATAGATCATTAAGGGTAGTAAAGGAATTTTAAGTAGGAGGGTTATTGAGAGAGGGTATAAATACCCATCATATGAACAAAATCAAACTTTGTCCAAGGTGGAGAATACCCACAGGTAAACTCTCTCTCTCCCCTCTTATTTTCTTTCCCCTTAATTTTTCCCCTTCCCCTTTATTTTATTTTTATTTTTTTTTCACCACCACCACACACACCACGGTGGCCGGCTGCCACCACCACCATAGTCGGCCGCCATCTCCAGCACAGGGTCGGCAATCGTAGCAGTCCTGGGAGGTGGCGCCAGCACCCTCCCTTTCCCCCTTGTGCGTGCGTGTGTTTTGTATATAAAAAAAATTCTTCTTTTTCATTTTTAAATCAATCCACCCTTAATCTAATTATTGTTTTTGGGTTTTGTGATGATTTTTATGATGTTTGATTTTAAGTATGATGTATATAAATTTTCAGATTTGGTTTTGAATTAAAAAGCCCCAAATTATAAACCCTAGGTTTCTAAGTTTATGAATATTGATGGAAATTGTTTATGGGTGATTTAAATTATTGAAATAAGTGTTTTAAAACACAATTACAGCAATTTTAAATGATTTAATAAAGCTGGAATTTTTATATATAAGCTATAATTATGTTTTTTGAAATGATTTTTAATTACCCATTAATTGGGAATAAAATTAAGGTTTTAAATTAAATTTTAGCTTGTTTTAAAGGATTTATGAGTTATTTAAGGAGTGTATATATTGCTTGAAATTTATATTGAATAGGTAATAATGCCTATTTGTAATTTTGGTTTGTAGGAGTTTTCCAAGTGAGTGATTTTATTTAGTCGTGGCGATTTTGAGATCATATTCAAGGTACGTTCGCGTACTTGGTAATTATTTGAATATGTAGAAGCATGTTAGGCTTTGATAAATTAATTTCAAGTAGTATCATGATAGGTGTTGGTTGGAATTTGTTGATTGGATTGATGTTGGTAAATGATTTGTGAGGTATGAATTATTTATGATGAATTGGTGATTGGAATTATATATGTTGGCATGTTGGATATGAACCACACTTTTATTATTATCAGGATATTTTGGATTTTAACACCTGACAAAAGGCTGAAAATGGTTTTTAACACCCCCCAAAAAAAAACTTTTATTTTAACACCTCCCAAAAATATAAAAGTTGGAAGTTAACACCAGTTAACGATTTCCGTCACGGAAATTTAACGTGGGTCCCACAAATTGGCTTCAACTTCAATTTTCACCCAGCAAAACACGAAACTTCCTCTCTGAACCTTCATTTCATTGATTTTATCCATTACAGATTTTTGGTGCTCATAATTTACAGATTTACAGATTTTTGGTGCTCATAAATCAAACCATACAAAAAATAAATAAAAATTCAACACCGGTTCATCTTCTCCTTCGTTGGAGAACAAAGCGACTGAGAACTTCCATTTTTTTTACCACCAATTCCGCCGCCCATAAAGGGCCCTGTACGGCTACTGACCAAGCCTTCGCAGCCAGCAAACATGTTAACTGGGGACCGGCCACCAAAATTAAATCAACCACCCAAGAAACCAACCTTGCCCCATCCCGTTAGCCACCCAGCTCCCTCCCCCGACCGACGACCGGCGAACCCATCCCACCCCTTTTCCCCACAAACGCAACCCAACCCTCTCCCTTTTCCCCTGCTGCCCCGACCCAAGCCACCACACCGAAACCACAATCAAAGATCTGAATCGCCGCAACCACCACCACTACCACCACTCTTCTGCAACACTTTGCTCCAAACCCTAACGAATCGACCCGCCTTAACCTTTTCGGCCACCCTAACCCCTAAACCACCACACCGTAACTTTTTTCGGCAAACTTAAATTGATTTCTAGACGAGGTTCGATGGATCTGCGATTTGCTCTGATTTCGGGAATTGATGTTGGGAATTGATTTTTTGCGGTTTGAGTGAGGAGGTGGCTGCAGGGGTTGCGATTGTGGGCTGGTATTTGGAGAGGAGCTGATTTGGTTGCGAGAACGGGGAAAGGGAAGGGGGGTGGGTTCGGTTGGCAGCGTAGGGGTGGGGGAAAGGGAGGGGGGAGGGAAGGGGTGGCAGTTGAGGGGAGGGTGGGCAAGAACGAAGGAAAGAGTTTGGGATGGCAGCCATGAAGATGAAGGGAGGAAGAAGACGAAGAAAAGATGAAGGGAGGAATAAGAAGAAAAAATGGGATGGCAGCCACGAAGGTGGGTTTCGTAAAAAATTGAAAACGAAGGAGAGTTGAAGCCAATTTATGGGACCCACGTTAAATTTCCGTGACGGAAATCGTTAACTGGTGTTAACTTCCAACTTTTATATTTTTGGGAGGTGTTAAAATAAAAGTTTTTTTTTGGGGGTGTTAAAAACCATTTTCAGCCTTTTGTCAGGTGTTAAAATCCAAAATATCCTTATTATCATGATGGAAGGCATGTTTAATTAAACTAAATGTTTAATTTGGTTTGGAATATGAAAAGGAAATTTTATTATTGTTCATATAATTATTATTGATCCTATAAGCATGAGGAAGGAGCTATTTAAGTGTTTATGTACACGAGGATTAAATTATATTTAACACCGAGGTAATTTAAAAAGGATTCAACATTAAATTTATGTGGTCACTAATTATTCAATAATTAGATTGGTATGTTTGATTGCTTGAATAAATTATAATGTTTGATTGTGTTAGGGATTGAGAGTCATTACCAAGTATAATAATATGTAAAGCAACGTAAAGTGAAAGAGATTACGCACCAAAACTCTTGGAACGTATATACCTTGAGTATGAGCATATGACGGGAGTTATGCGACTTTATATTTGACCATAACTTCTACTGGGAATACAGGACGCTGTATAGTCATTTTTAATATGCGCAGGAATTCCGCCACTTACGAGTGGTTCTTTTATACTGGCACGGTTAGCTCCCGTGTTAGTATCCCTTTATTAGGGTAGGTTAGGGGGAAACCCGTTCGATGCGTAATCAAATTAAATGGACATTGATATTTGTCTAGTTAAATGTAGAATGTCTTGTATGCTTGTTTGCAGGTGCAACAAGGTGAGTTGTGTGATGAAAGGATGAAATCATGTTAGTGTGTTTTTATTACGCTTATGTACTCAGCATTGCTGATTGTGTGTTGTATGTTTGTTTGGCCTTGTCTTTACCTTGGC